GTGGTTGGCTACACTGGAGACATTTCTCATTTATGCCTCATTGATAAGATTAAATTGCCGGTGCTCCGTTCGCTCCGGAATCCACGCAGTTTCCCTGGAATTACCTCATCCAACAAGTGGATGTTGATGGGTTATCCTCAACCAACTAATCTCGCCTCACTTGTTGTAGTACTATAGTTGTATTCACACTGGCTCCTTGTATATGAGTTCATTTAGGGATCCGCTGGTTTTGGGTATGTTCGGGACTTGGCTGTTTAAAAGCTTTTGCATCAGAGTTCCACAAAATTTCCAAGCATTTCTCTGGTTCTTATATCTAACTTGAATGAGCTTCTTCCTGATCAGCACTCGCCAGAAAGGGATCCGCGCTGCATTCAAACCCACTTATCACTTCTGTGATTAGTACATGATCCAGGTGTCTGCCGCATAATGATATAGTCGACTGAGTATCCATGTCCATCTGTTGGGTAACACTCCCCAGTTAACCACGTGCTTACCATTAAGTTTCTGCTGCACACATCGTTATCGGTCTTGGTCGTTCAAATGGTGAAAGGAGGGAAGCCCTTCGATGCGAAGTCATTTACTAGTGAACACGAGCTAAGCAGTTACTAGTCACTAGACAGGTTTCTAGCCTGTTTTGTCTGTCTCACAATCACCTGTCAACATTGTGACATGAATACAACCTTGATGAGCATGTCAACTGCGGTTTCGTGACCTTTTGAGGGACGCCATGTGATTCCCCATTATTGTTTTCACGTCCCACCACTAAAAGGACACATATAATGACAACACGGTCAACCACACATGCACATCACCGAAAAACGCGCACGCAGGAAAGCAGTTCTGGCTCTATACAAAGCCTGAACAACGCACGTCACACACCGGTATAGGATTTACCAGCACAGCGTCGCAAAGCGTCAACCCCCTCTGGTTAGCCGCATCATCAACGTTAAAGTGTTAGTCAACTGGATAAGTCTGCAACTTTTGACCTGTTTTGTTTTGAGTTTGCACTTATATTGCTCGAGGTTCACCTACCTTTTATACTACATCTGTCCTCTTGTAAACATACTTTTTATTAATGCGTATTACCTTCTGTCAGCTTCCCAAACAGGTTGACGTACATTGTCTAGGCTGTAGTGGCGACGAAGGCTGTTTATTGCTCGTTGTCCATGTTTTGATAGATGTTTCGTTGACTGCTCTCAAGGTAATCGGCGATGATAGGTGGTTGGATTCAGAAACTATGGCAGGTATGACACTTAAGTTGGCACCAGTTTTGACCAGGAAATTGAAACCTGAGTTCTTGTCAAAAACGACGAGTTTTGACATTGAGGGCTGGGATGCTACTCGCGTCTACAGCCTAGCCTGTTGGTTTCCCGAGTGCGGACTAACTGGAGGTGATGTTGCTCGGAACAAACAAGTTTGTGTGCATTTTCCTGCGAATCGACCGAACCAAGTATGGTACCAGCAGTACTCCTTAGAACGTTTAGAGGAAACAGAACGACAGCCTTTCTGTGCATGTGCTGCCCATTCAGCCTCCCCTACCTGAGGGAACAAGGCCACAGGGTGAAAAGGAGCAAGCGCCTCTAAAGCTATCAGGGACCAATAGCTGTCAAGTGGGATGGAAACAGACGATTGGCTGAGACCAGCAGGGCATGCAAAGGAGGCCTGAGGTCCGCACCACCCAAAAGACTCACCCAATGCGCACACTCAGCTGGTTCGGGACAACGGCCATCCAGACTCAGCTACTCAGTGATACACAAAGTGATCACCAGTACCACTCAGAACTAATGATTAGTCTTACCACACCTTGACCGTTTGTTTCCAGTGGTCAACACATTTTTTTTGTTAGATGAGATACATTTCAGTTAACTTCCATTGAAAAACTTGACGAGGATTACTGAGTGAGTTCTGTACAACCATATTTCTTTTATGCACCGGATCCACACACATTTGCGCTACCGATTGCTCGAGAATGAAATTCGCTTCACAAGTGTAATTCTAGACTGGAACACAACCATGCATGAAAAATGCAAAGGACTGACCAATAAATAGTGTACCAAGTGGACATCAGGATTTTTCATGGTGTACGCGTCTGGTATACTTTCAGTTCGTTGGATGTCTTCTGGACCCATGTTTCTGGTCGAAGAAGTCACATGGTCCTCTGCCAGGTTGGTTGAGACCGATTCGCAAGTTTTTTGTGGTGTATTTGAAACGGAACTCGATCCGGAAGAAGTCAGGGTGACGACTGAACAAGAGAATCCTCCTGAAGGATCAGTAGCTTCCTCCTGACGAAGACGGAGATAGATGGGTGTTTTGCTCTTTCCCACTCGCAGAGAGGGCGATTCATTTGTGGAAAGTCCGTCGGGAGGCCAGTGCACTCGCATTGGAATGGTGAATGTGGCTATAGAGGGTAGGTGTGAAGTTCCCGTCCTGGTTTCGAACGGAGGTATAAGACCGTTGAGACTGGATTCAATATTTTCAACCCTTATACCATCCGAAGGCTGCAAACGAGTCAACTGTTTGGGAGCAGACGTGGGAATAGAGGCCAGTGGTTTGTTCGTAGGTGTTCGAAAATTTGCCAATGCGGGTCGAGACGATGGAGGTGATGAAAGACACTTTTCGCCAGATATTACCAGATTTTGGTGATCTACTTCAGCAGTCTTCTGATACAATATTGTGGGCGCAGCTTGTTCACTGTTTTCAGCGGAAAAGCTCGTTTCATTGTATAAATGTGGAGGCACTAATTTCGACTGGGTGTTTGTGGTGTCAGTTCTGGTGTAAGCTGAGCAACTTGGCTGGTTGTCTTCGGCTGCTTGCTGAGACTGCGTCGCTTTCTGACGTGGGATGACTTGTTTACACTCCTCAGAACCCAAGATGTCGATATTCATACACTGCTGCACTAGCTACAGCAAGAATGATAACGCAGATAAGTAGCTAAGTGGTCGTGTGGATGGAACAACTAACGGTAATCTATCGACCCTTTTTGGTAGTTATAACGTGTCTATTTCGAAAGCTTACAATTTTACCTAGTTGAGCTATGGAGGAAATAAGAAGACTGCTAATAAAAAGTTAAGCGTAGATCTTTGTCCAAACTTCTTCATCCTATGAAGCAGTGTCAAATGTTTGATAAGTCGCCCTTCACACTGAAAGTGGAAACAATATTTATTTCCTGCAACCTGGAATATTGTGTTCACCAAAGCTGTCAACCCAATTTTACATTTGTCATAACAATGATCAACCTTAGATGGACAAAACATATATATTATACAGGGAAAGGAGATACTCATGTCTGTCTTACAATTCCTTTTTTTTCTCATGTGTTTTTGTGGGCAGAAAATCTCAATTGTTGCCGAGCGCTCGGCTCCTGGCAACTGAGTCCTCTACATTATTCGGTCAGCCCAAACTATCCGTAACATCCCCTTAGTGGTAGGCTCGATAGTCAGCTAAAATGACCAGTCACTGCCCAGCGGTAAGAGTGAAGCCAAGTGAAAATAGTTCTATGGGCTACTGGATGGCGGAAGGCTGGTATTTTCAATTAGAATTCCTATCCATCTACGGGCATCATTCCATGCGGTCGACGGTGAGATATGGAGTTATCGGAAGACCCTTAGTAATACTACGTGGGCTATCAGTGAGGTGCCACACTTCCTGAGGAGGATATATCCTTGGTAGCTGCCAGAATTTTTTCTAACTGAGAAGTGTGATGTATTCGAATCCTGTCTGGTTAATGAAGTTTTAATCTACATGTCTACTCACAACCGAGGCTATTGTCGCCGTGACGTTTTCTTCTGGAAAAGTCGTTTCAGGAACTAGAAACCGAATGAGTGTGCAAATGGATGTATTTAGCAAATAACCATAACACTTTCTACTTAATTTGCTCCCGCCTGTACTGCCTGAGGTATGTTGTAGTTTAGCAGCAGGTCGCAAAGAAAGTGTGAAGTGAGTTTTCACAGCATTGTGACGAAAAATCTTTGTTGGACAGTTGTGAATGCACTCTTTCAAACTCATTACTTATCATCCCAATACTATTCTCTAAAAAGAATATTGTTTTTTATTTACAAACAAGATGAGAATGTAAGGACCTGCTTACATGAGCTAGCTGGCTCTCCACACAAGACAAAACACTTGTAAACCGGGTCAAACGATGCAATGCGTTATTCAAGGAAACGAGGGCTTACTGATGACATACAAACGGGATCTCTGCTCTCGTAGTCGTCGAATTTCAGAAATTTCCGGCAACCGTGATGCTTTGGGATTTTCGACGGCCTACAGAGAGACCTATGAGTCTCCATTATGTATCCATTTTCCTCAATATTCTTCAATATTTGCTGTTCGAGTGCAGTGTCAATTGCATCGAGTTCCTCGTCGTAATGAGTCTCAGGTCCTGCGACATCAGCCTCTTGTATTTTAAATGACACGAAGCCGAGACTTCTCGATAAATCCTCACTCAGTTCGTTTGCATCGTTTTCATATTCTCCTATATCCACATCATTGAGCCCTTCGTTAACCCCGCCATCCTCGGCATCATCACTGTCAATCGCCATCTCTGTACTGGCTGGTAACACTGTAATGTATGCATCTGTACAGGCACTCAAATGACACAAAGGCGCACATTCCAAATCAACAAATCCATCATGATTGAGTTGTGCCTCAGTTGCTAGCATAGACAGTGTTGGCTGTGATGGAGAAGGAAATGTTTTCAGGAGGTTACCACTGGAGCTCCCACAACTCAGATGATCCTTATACTCGGGCTCCATTGCCAGTTTATTTTCGGTAGGAAACATGAACTTTTCAGGGAGGCTAGTCTCGTCATTTACTGCTTCGGAAAAATCCGACTGTGACTGAGGTCCTCGCCCAGTGATGACACCTTCCACTGCGAGCGAACCTGCATCTTCCCAGTGGGATGTCTGATGAGATCGAGAAAAAAACATTTCTTATTTTTTAGTCTTACTTTAGAGAATTAGAATTTCTTGAGCTACAACTTCAGACAATAACCTCGTTCACGGACAGTCAGCACTACAAACTGCAGGCGCTTGTGCCGATTGGCTGACTGCTCGCAGATGCACGTTCTGAACAAACATTTCAACCAGTTGGCTGACTTTTTCTTCAGCCGTAGGGACTAAGAGTTGTTTAACCAACTGATGATAAGGGGATCGTTTTCAGAAACCAGGAAGGCTTTTCGTGTGAAAACCATCCGGAAAAACGTGTAGTTATTTCAGTCAATAATTGCCTTTACTTCTAACGTAAACTTCCGAAATGACAGATCTCCCATGGGTTCTTTGAATTCCCAACCCTCGTTGAATGCATTACCAAGGCATTTACTGAATTGAGTCTAGGTGCGACTCAAATTCGATACTCATGAACCAGGTTTTAGGCGCGGAAAATATTGATGGAAATTCAGGGGTTATTATCAATAAAATTTCTCTTGTTTTATAAAACAAACCATTCTTCACGCACGTCTGATATCACAATGGGAGACTGACTAAGACACTTGGAAAAGGACTCCTGTATCAAGAGAGCAAACCTGATGAGTGTGTTACTGAGTCCTTATTAGGCTTAGTCCTTAGTAGAATTACTGAAGCCGATGAAGCAGATGCAAAACTGGTAAACTTTCAACCAATGGGCATTTTAGAGAACCACTCATTGCATGCCAGCCCATACAAAGCTGTGCCTGAATTTTCACTGTGAAACTCACATGAATTTCTGGATTGGAAAGGTCGAAGGAATGGTGCACGGATCTACGGACGATACTACTTACCCGCTGACCAACTGGTATGACATGTGATTGTCGGTCGCAAACATGCAAACAAGTGAGCTCGAGAAATGAATGTCAGCGGGTATTTTCCGTAAGGAGGAAGCAAGAGGCACTCAGCTGAACAGTAAGGTGGATGCACCTCATGTGGCTCAGCCTGCTAAAATCCAGCTGTGGTAATATATGGTTCACTTCGGAGCCTGCAAACTGATAATTCTCAGGATAAAAGACGCCTTAGGATGAACCCTCTTACGTATCAGTTACGAATAGTCGAAAGCTGGCAGGCACCAAGCAGTCAGTATCAAACGCACGCATGGCAACGAACACATCCTCAAGCATATTGTGTACGGTCATTTTACGAATCCCAGTAACAAGGTTCAACAAAGGTGGAATTCCCTTTATCTCAGATCTTTTCAGGACTTGACGGGATCATTCTTACTAATAGGATGGCTCACCACTTGTACGTAACCGGATTTTACCCGCCTCAAAACGTGCGAGCAAAGCTTCATTGTTTTCCTATTCGTTTGCCTTGGGATATCTTTGAAAAGAAGGGCACAATCCTCACTTTAGAGCGGTAACGTGAGTGACTAAGTGCTCTCTACTAGCAGGGAACTAAAATTTGATTCAAAGTTCAAGAGACATGAGAAGTGACCACTTCTGGAGGTGGCAGAATGTGTTACCGGGGTCACCGAAACTAGGGAAGCGCAAGCCAGCTGATTCCATCGATAGGTCAACATTCAGGAAGATTGTTCGATTGTCAAATGGGAATCACATGTGTGAGTTGAAGCTGAGGTAAACAAGTCTCATCCTTTAGGTTGATGTCATACACTTGCAAGGACTACATAGGCTGACTGTGATTAGTTTGACGCGACTCCAGAAAACTTGTAGCGCACAAACAACGTTCTATGTTGTCTCGAGACGAAACAATGCATCAGGGTTTCGTCTATATTGTGTGACTGACAGACTCGGCGGTGATGTACGGAAGCATTAGTCGTTCCCATAGGTCTGACAAAGCTTAATACTCGGTCAGTTGATATGGTTGTTAACGTGCAATCAAACAGTTCAACTCCAGTCCATCGTCCTATGCCTGAGATTACGTAATGTACACCACCTTTGTAAGGTGTTGATCTATGTGCTACTGAGTGAATAAACCAGTCAGTCCACAAGTAAGCTTCACTATAAAATATCCAACGGTACTCATCATAATACAAGCTTCCGATTTCAGCGCTGTCAATTCGAATGTGACCTGGAGAAAAACACCATTATTGAGCCGTTATGTAGAATTTACAGTGGATGCTTGTCCAAAGACAAGCTGATCCTAAGCTCACTTATCCCCGGGCCCATTTATATTAGGGTACTTTATCGTGAGCAGTTTGTCAGCAGCCACTTGACAGCTGGAAAGATATGTTATATGACCGGCTGTCGTGTTGTTTTTGCCAACATGGAACCTGCCGCTCCTCCGAATCGGTCTTGGTTCGTCGTCACTCCGGTGACTGGTAAGTTGCTCACTCAGTAGTGCACTAGTAAGCTAAGCAGTACAGTGGCATACACAGCAACCCGTTCAGACAAAAGTAGCTGCGTGTTGTAGACCGAATTTGAAAAGAGTGGTTATCTTTTAAATTACTCCAGTGTCAACTATTGTTTAGAGCATCATTTCAGCTCTATTACCAGGATAGTTATCTGCAGCTGTACAGCTCCCCCACTGCTTTGATGGAATTCAGGCACTTTGGAATATACACGTTCATGCTGGACTGCGTGTGTTACATTTCGTTAAGCACAACTCGGAGTTTGACGGATATCAAGCGTAAAACAGAAAGCCCAATTCGCCCCCCCCCCCCACAATTACTCACGTACCGGTGTGGTCGTCCACAGTTTCGTTACGCTGGATGACTGTACCCCCTGTCGTCGCTTGTCACGAAAACAACGCAGAGTGGGTGGGACGGTCTGACTCACACTGTTTCTTCGGCTCAGTCGTCCAAATACCACCAAAGCTGCGCCTGTGCGTCCCTACGAAATCCATGCGATTGGCTCAGGCACTCGGACTTTCAATCCACACATTGTGCGCATGAGTGCTCCTGTCTGTGGCGCGCGCGCGCCTCTGGAGGGAAGCTTTCTACCTCAAGAACCCATTCTACCTGTGCAACAGTGCGTTGGTGCAGCCGATCCAGGAGATGCAATGTTCACGGTGTATCGGATTCATCGACTTGCGATAGTGATTTTATAGACAGACCACATGAGTTGAAACGAACCGTACGGTCACTAAGCCATGAGTGTGGGCGGACAGGCAGAACTGACCTAAGCTCGTGTAAGGCCCTACTTCGAAGGACGGGGATGGGAGATGACAATTCAAGTTGATGACCTATCTTGATTTTGTGTAGCCGATTGCGGAGGGACGAAAATCGATCGCTAACCGTGTATCGCCTTAGGTTCAGTCGGTGTATAGTCCTCTGAGATTCGCTACACTACGAAAGCCACACTGCGTAACCGTTGGTAGCCTCCTAACTCTCGGTCAGGCCTAGCAAGTTCCGCCTGTCAAATAGAAATAGGTTCAGGTGGGCTAACGTGTTCCGGCATGTTTCACCGTGACTTCCATTTATTTTAATGTTCATGTTTATGTTCTCTTATCAGAGCCTGTCTACTCACGCCCATACAACAACCAGATGTGTTTACGTCCATAAAATGCAGATCTTCGCCACAGAATGAGATGAAAGTGACTGCAGTCAGTTTTATGGTGCTACAAACTCTTACGCATGAACTGAAAACATGGAGGGACAAATGATGAAGAAGCTAATGTCGCCAGACTTTTCACACTTCGCATTAACCAATAAAGTAATTTATAAATATCCTCCCAATGGAAGGAATCAGCAATTTGCTGAATTTCTGTCAAAACGTCTACGTCATGATTGGCTGATCTGGCCTGAGGTATTCTGAAGAACGTAAAGTTTTCTGAAAAAATAAGCAGTACATCTAAGATAATCTGTGCTGAAGTCCAACTGACGGTCCACTCTGAACCTACAGTCAGGATAATTGCTTGACTCATGCTATCGGAGTCGTCTGCAGTTTAGACGGGAGGTTTCCTTCCTCCCGTTCCAAATTTCGCTCCTTTATGAGAGAGCTGTATGCGATCTCCTGCGGGCGCGTACGAGTATATGGGAGGCTCTTGCCTGAGTTCACCACGTCCAGTGATGTAAGACAAGGTTATCCCCTTTCCTTTTTCCTATTTAACTTTGTTATTGATATACTGCTTGAAATTTCTTCGCCTGCATCTGAAACCTCGGGAGTCGAAATGCTCCCGGGACGTTCCCTCACAGATATTGAGTATGCAGACGATAGTACTCTCCTTGATTCAGATTCTTCCCCAATACAAACGATTTTAAATAACCTAAATAACTCTGCCGCACGGTTTGGCATGTGCTTCACACCTGCAAAGTGTAAAGTGCTGCTACAGGACTGGGTGGGATCAAATCCACATTTCATGCTTGCAGGTGAGCCAACTGACGTGGTAGATAAATTTGTTTATCTGGGCGGCTGTATAGGTACCAGTGGGCTGGCTGAAGATAAGATTATTTTTCAAATCGGAGAGGCCATGGCGGATTTTTCCAACTTCCGACACCTATGATACCGATGTGACGGGAGTTTGCCTGTCACTGACAGAGTATACCCTGCGGTGGTGCGATCCATACTGCTTTGTGTATCAGAAACGCGGCCCCCACACGTGGAGGACGTACGGAAGATGTCAGTTTTTGATAATCGGTCTCCAAGGATTGGTCAGGTCTGATGGGAACATCGGATCATCACTACTGAGGTACGTCAGATAGTCTCAGGAAGAAAGGCCTTTTTCGCGATAGATGAACCACTCACGTTTCATAGACTACGCTTGTTAGGAAATGTACTCAGCATGTCAGAAGACCGTCTACCTGACAGAACTCTTTTTGTCCAGCCTTGTGCTGAGTGAAAGCGATCGAGAGGTGGGCAGTGCTTGACCTGGCAACGAAGTAAAAAATCACTAACCAGTAAACTGAGTCGGGTCGGCAACTGCCGCCTCCCTGGATGGGAACCCCGGGACTCAAATCACCAGTGGTTAATGACATTGGCAGAAATTGCGCGATCGCGCAGTTAGTGGCGCTTGTGCATCAAAGCTGTCGCCTCCAGTGCGTAGCTATCCAATTTCCGAACAAACATAACATACCTTCAACTTTAAGGCTTGCTTATATGTTCCACTTTCCCGTTTTCCTCTGGTCAAAATTGTAGCAGCTGGAACCAATATGCCTGTGCTATATGGTTTATAGTTGATAAATTGAGTAATTGTTGCCGTGACGAAAACAGCCGCCCGCTGCATATGCAGCCCACCGAAGTCCACCGTTTGTTCGGTTGGTGAGCTTGGGTTGGCTCCGACAATTCTGTCTGCCCGTTCAGACTCACTGCCAAGTGGGCGTGTGGTCTATCCGTGTAGCAGCCCCGTGATGAGCCGATAGGTCACGCGCATTGCATTCCCCCTTTCAGCTGCATCGGCTCACTGCCGTACCCTAGCTACGTGAGGATTAGGTTACTGAGGGGGAGCCAAGTGGGAATGACTTCCCCTGTGATGGCGCGCACTCAAAGGCAGGTGCGTCGTACGCACACCTGTGTATCTGTGTGTGTATCTGTGTGTGTGTGTGTGTGTGGACTGGAGCTTCAGATACCTGAGCCAATTGTTTAGGCTTCGTGAGGTGCACAAAGCACAGCGTCGGAGGCCTTGGCAGCATGCTGACGATCAGTCGAGGGATGGCGACCATGCACCGAATGACAGTACAGTTAAGCCTTGGAAGCAGATCGTGTGGCAGGATCTTCTCTGTTCAATATTTGAGTGATAGACACATGACACAGACTTTGCATTTACGATTCATTTTTCGGCGCTGTTAGCAGCAAAAGTTTAACCAACCGAATGCATCCAGTTAAAGCCTTATACATCTTATCTATTGAGCTGTTTACGAAATCATTTTGAACACAGTAACTTACCATGGTTTGACTGTTCTCTTTGTGCTCTAAAGAAGGATTGACCTCAGAAGCCGCCGTCATCAAAGGACCTGAAAGGAATTTATGTAACGCTGAACTTTCCGCATGTGTGACTTCAATGAAATGGTTAAAAAATAACGATTTTTGCTTTGAGTTTCTCCCAAAAAATGAGGTGTCCCTACTGCTTTAGTAGCACATTATCGATTGTTATCTTCCTGAAATATGTTTAAAATCCAAAAGAAATGGATCGAAGAACTAAATTTTGTATTTGTCAGAATAGGTAACAATGGATCGTGGATCTGGATCCACTGTCAGCCTTGATATAAAAGAGACAGACCTAGACTGGTTTCCATTCTCCTAGGTCACCTTTATGGACCATGTAAAATCGGACTGACCATCAGTTTTTCGCCTGTTGGACCTGTGGAACCCGGCAATTCGTAGCCACAGTTTTCTAAAAAAATTGATCCGAATACAGCTTTGATCATGGTTATCTTGGGTTCTTAGTAAAGACAGCTTAACAGGTCTGACTAGTCTTTTTCGAAAAAAAGGGTTAAAATAGGAACACATCCGATGCGTGAACAAGTAAAAAAGTGAGGTGAATTATTGTCCGTTGTGCGCGGTGGCCGTGGATTACATTATCTGAAGTTGTAACCGGATTGTTACCTTCTAAATGCGACTAGCAAACTCAATTAATTGGGATGCGTCCTGTTGTTTGTTTGGGCGTAGGTGCTAAAAGCGCAAAAAGGTTTAATTTAAGCTATATACCGTATGGAAATTCCGGTTTGACGCTTCCAAGCTCCGCTTTGACCTTTCACGTTTTCGAACGTGAAAAAATGCCCGGGACCCAGCTGAATCTCTCGTCATAACATCGTAAACGAGAGATTCAAGCTGCGTTCCGGGGGAGCCTCTCGCAAAACCAAATTTGTTTTCAAATGAGTGTATTTCGCTAATTTCGTATAATTTGAGTTCAAGAAGAACATAAGGTTGACGGAAACTCAGGAACTGTGTCTAGCTGATGAGCTCCAAGAAGGACGAAAATGGTCGTGGGTTGTCAAAGGTATCCCAGCAACCTTATGAGTAGCGTATTAAGTCTATTCATGTATCGTGAAAAATGCCATTTTAAACTTTGGTATGAAACCATATTTCTCCACTGTTCAATGTTTCTTAGTGTTTCTCTGAAAGTACTGTTATTATTAGCCCAGTAGGTCAAAAAGCACACAGCAGCACGCATTTTGGGTAGAGCTCTGGAAGTAAGCCACCCAAAGGGTACGAGAGAGGCAAATTGATACACAACAGTCGCCGCACACTGTCCTCATTTGGTTCGGGTAAGCATCTAGAGATATTACGAGTTTGCTTCGCAGTCATCTTGCTTCAGGGCCTGGCAAAAGGTGCCGGGATTCCTTGATGTTCGATTCACTGTAATTACAGGTTACTCCGACGAATATAATAGGGTTTGTGATATTTTTTTGCTCCATTTGGACAAGCTTCCTCTGGATGACTGAATCGGGACACTTTTCCGATGGTTCACTAATCAGGGCTTGCCCGAAGTTAGTATTTGAAAGCCAACTTGGCAACAAGTAAGGTGACAGTTCCCGATAGTGGAGACAAAAGCACTTGTCTGTTTACGTAGAGGAAAAAACCTAACGCATCCAGCTGATAGACGAATTCGCTGCTGTACAGAATCATGTCTATATACGCCAATAACTTCATAACACTTTTTTTTCACGCATATCCCACTGGGTTTCGACTGCTTCGAAAACTTGATCGACTGGGTTTCCAAAGTATTTTTCCCATAAGTTATGGTTCGCTTTCTTATAATCAACACCATAATTATCGTCACCATCACAGACAGCAACATCACTGTTGACACTGATGATTCACTGCCGCAAAACCATAAAGTTTGCTTAATTATATTTCAAGCCTTAGAATGAAAAGAGAAGAGTAGGTAAGGGAAGGGATCTGGTGACGGCCTGTTGCAAGCACTCTAAGGTGCTTACACCTCCAAGCGCTCAGTCAGACAATCTGGAAAGAAACTGACAATAAGAATACCGTTGACCCCACTCGACCGCCATTTCTTGCAATTCCCCCAACCCCTTCCTGGAAGACGTACTGCACCAGCAACACTCAAACTCTTCGCAATCTCTTTCACCCCTTCTTCCAAGTCACAAATTGTCAACCTCGTGGTTTCCGCCATTCTGAAGGAGGATCCAAGAACAACACTCGTCTCAGCAGACGGTGTTTCGGCATGCGTAGCACATGACCGAGCCATCGTAGTCGGTGGTGAATGTTTTCGTGGATTGAAGTACCTGCAGCACAACCAAATACCCGTTTTCCAGTCACATCGTTACTAATCCATTGATGGCATCCAAAACCAGCAAAGCTTCTGAGGCATCGTTGGTCAAAACTCTCAGGATGCCTCACCTTATCTGTTCGTAGAGGCCACGTCCAGCACCCATACAACAACGCAGCCCTTACTGTAGCCTGGTACGCGCTACCCTTAGGATCCAGTGATATACCTTTTCGACACCACAAGTGACACAAATTGGTAAACGTGATTCTGGCCTTCGAGAGTCGTACACTCTCTTTTTCAGACACACTTCTTTCAGAGACAATACTACTACCGATTTATGTGAAATTCCCTACAAACTTCAGTGATTCCCCTTGAATTGTAATGGATATGTACAGAGACTGTTCGTTCTGAAGCACTTTGAAGTTGCTAGGTGCATGTCAAAAGTGGTATGATGGTGGTCAGCTTATTTGAGAGCTTGTGCTGCGCCTTCATCTTCGAAAATGAGGGCAGACCAGACCAACATGTTTGCCACCAGTGACTATTTGAACACCGAGGTTTTGAAGAATTTCCAGTGTTCGCCTCAACATATCATCATTAACGAAGTTGAACGAGAACGAAAAGAGAGTGGACATCCATGAAGGACTTCATCTTTTGTAGAGAACTTTTTTAGAGAGCTCACCATACACTCTTACAAACTTCCGGGACATATCCCGTTGAACAAGTTTCGTTAACAACACTAAGCGATCGACAGAATCGAACGCAAGGTCAATGAATACAAAGATTGTAAGTCGTTTGTACATATGGTGTTGCTCTAATACCTAACGGAGTGTGAAGCTGTGGTCAATGCGACATATACCCGGTTGAACTCCCGCTTGATTCTCACAGATCAAGGATTCGCAAGTCACCGTAAGACACCGAGGAGTCAGTAGCGCCGGAAGACTTGTTGAAACGGAGATCAAACTAACATCTTTGTGGTTACCACATTTTACTGCTGGTACTCTATTATCCACCCACCTCAGTTATCTCAAACAGTGTCTTTCTACTAGATAGACCCAAATAGGCTAGATAGGCACTAAAGAATTCACCACGATGACACTTGAGTATAGATCTATATTCGGACACTTCTGAGACTGAGATGGGTTCCATGTTCACAGTCCACCGTTCTGTTGAAGAACGGAAGCCCGGTGGCAGGTGGCCAGCTAAGTTGTTGTTCGAAGTACTGGGCTCAGCCATCCAAACGTTCTTTTTTGGGTATGAGAGCCATTGTTGTCCCCGAAGGTTTCCCTGAGCCCTTCTTCCGATGAGCACTCGAACGAATCTAGTGGAACAGCCTGTAGACGTTTCCATAACATTTGATTCTTCCATTTCTTCGGTCTATCGGTTCCCCCAACCCTTTCGGTCGGCACGGACACTCCATTTTACCCGGCGTCGGATGATGCGTCAGGTCTAGTTATGGTTGCCGTCGGGAAGAATCTGTCACTTGGCCTCCAGCAAAGCCACGACCATACCAGAGATTCAATGTTTCAATGAGGTTGGCTGGGTTGTGCCGAAAACAGAAGTTCCAGCCCTTAGTCGCACTGTGGATATCTGTTCCCACTGGTTGTTAATATTAGACAGGACGGTCCGACATGTGTTGGAGAGGCCGGTTCTGAAGGTTCCGTTTGATTTCTGGATCCATCTGCTTCCCATCTGCTTCCCAGTGGCTAAGCGAGGTGTGCGCGCTCTGCGTATACCTGAAAAGCGCAATGAAAGGTAGCAGATCACAAGTGAATGGTGGGAGTCCATGATGGTATTCCAGAAGAAGCGAGAAACGGCGATCGACCCTGGCCACCGGTAACTGACGTCAATATGGTCTTTTCGAATTCGGGACTGGTTTGTTGGTGGGCTCCACGATCTCAAGCGATTTTTGCTGTTCAGGAAACCGGTACTGCAAAGGAACAATCTGTGGTGCGCGAACATTTGAAGTGGACGATTTCCGTTATCCATGCGTCTCGTATCATACGAGCATTCAATCGGGCATCAGCAGCGCTTAATCTAACGGCATTGGCGTTCATATCACCACCAAACACAGTGATGATGACGAGCTTCTGAGCACCTAAAGCATCATAGAAACTGTCCTTAGCAGATTCAGGGCTACAGTCCTTTGGGGCGTAAGCAGACACAGTAAACCGGTTGGTATATAATTCATTTTCTCGAGAGTCTCTTACAAACGTTGTCAAAATAACCGCGCAGAGGCGACTATCAACGAGTATCCAATCTGGCAGACACTTCCGTTCGGTCGCTTTATACAGTACTCTCCTGACATATCCAACTGGAGTGGTTTTGCACCACCAGAAGTGCGCAGCCGAAACCGAGAAGGGAGCGAGGGGACAGTCAGTTCTAATACATCACTTGCATCCTGTATTCTTGTTCCTGGCAGAGAGCGTATGTCAATACAGAGAAAATCTAACATACGAGAAAGACCCACCTGTTGTCCTGCTTGCTTCAGTGTGCGAACATTAAAGACAGCTAATTAGATCGGCTTTCGGGGTTTGAAAACAGATTTTGAAGTGTCGGACGTACAAAAGCTGCAGCTGAGTGTGAAAGTGTAGGAATGGAGGCGCCAGCAGCAGCATGTTTTCGCTTACCCTTCCTACTGTATGCAGCAGATAAGGTGACCCGGCCGGTGCAACCACGTGACGGCCGATGTAGTATGAGGTTATTTTTAGTTGTAAGTATCATGGTTGTACGTTGACTGGTATACTGTCAGGGCGCACAAATCTAGACAGCAGGACGATTAGTGCCTTCAACCAAAGCCTTTGGCTCAAAAGCCTGACAACAAGACGGCGGTGTTTGGCGGGAAATGCAAATGCATGACTGTGTTTGTAAAAACAAGTTTCCACAAATGTTCAGATCCCGAACCTGGAGGACGAGAAAATTGTTCGTCAGATCTCTAACGATTGACCAACCTAGTAGGTTAGACTGTGTGCCGCATGAACACCACCCAGTATAGCTCAGTGGGTCGCGGAAGAACAATTCGTCACACCAGGGTAAGGTCCAGTCTCTTTGCGACAGGCTCTTCTGTCACAGACACATTAATTCACATTTTCTGCTAACAAGCCAGCATGAGAAATTCCACATGAGGAATAGCAACTAGTTGCCCTTGGCAAAATTATGCGGAGTTGCTTGAGAAAACACTTGCGGCATCAGGTGAATTGTAAGTAGAAAGAGAAAGTCTGTTTTACCGATTGTTGCTTCTTCCTCCTAAGGTGGTAATAGCCTGACTCCAAGAAGTTCACTAGTATTTGGCTTCTTGTTATTGGTAAGCAATGTTGAAGAAAGATTGTGAGATATGCGCACCTACCGGCACTCAGATCTTAAAAGAATGGTCACTCTGGTTATGTCTGTTGAAAATTCTTTGGTATGGAGTCGAACTGCCATAAGATGGTAGAGGGAGTGGGACGACTGCATATTCCCACCGGTGACATATGTAGAGCTATAGGAGGTAGACCAGGACAAGTCCAGTTGGCTTCAGGGTGAAAAGTGATAATCCTAACTTGAACCGGTGCTTATTTCCTTCTTGTATCATATCTCCGTAAACAAGGGCATACAATGAACACATTTGTTTTTATTATCAAAATACAGAGTAAACAGTTTGAGAATTTTTGGTTCAGCAGATCTTGACTTGTTCTGCCTTCACTTATAAACTCACGAACATGATGCCGGCTATACCTTGTTCTCGTCGGCTTGTATGCGATCCACGTGTCAAGGACGTTAACGATAAACTATTCAGCGCTAATTATCAATGCCACTCAATAATCGGTCCAGCTAGCGTATCACAAGTAGTGACACTGAAGAACTGCGCGGTCCTCTAAACAGGGACAGAATTTGAAATTTTTTTATTAACAAATTTCCCCCATGATATTGCTGTTTCAGTAATATACTATTCCGTGTTCCAGGCCATCTCCTGTGCTACGCTACTATATTCTTAGGAAATCTCAGTCTTAAGTGTCTATCGGAAAGGTCTTCGCATCCACTAGAAAATTTACTGTTTGCTGATAGCTGTAAAACACACAGGCCCTGTTTTGCAGTGTAACAGGAAAAGAGTATTTGGTAATATTTGGTAATAATTTGGTAATATTCCTTATCGGATAGTGGGGCGAATTTACCTGATGCTCACCATCCGCCGAAATATTCTTTACCTGTGAAATAAAACTCACTGGATGAGCGGTGGCGTGTCACCGGTGGCTCTCGTAGCAGTTTTGGGGTACATGAAGCGAATAGGAAAGGTACCACTCGGCTGAATGTTGGCAGAAGCGCCTCAGCTAGCCAGTTTTGTGTCATTGGAAGAAGATAGGAAGTGACTGTATGTGGAACCGGAGCCAGCACGATGTTCTAAAATTTATGCATCAAGTGGACAAGCAAGAATTTTTGGGCAGTACAGAGACAAAGGTTAAAAATTCATCCCAACAGGTCACTGAGTGCCTGGAACGGGTTTTCATGCATAGTAAAATTCACCTGCACTTGTTTAGCCATACTAAATTTGGTTCAGTCACAAAGGAGGTTTGAGATTTGTGCATATTAGCCATCGTAAGCTGCTTTCTTGCGCGTACACTTCTTACTATGCTATTCCCGTCAGTCACAGTATGCTCGACCCTCCGTAACCACGCCCCGGTCACCCAAACTCAAGTTCCTGAGTGTTACCAATAGGAAGATCTGAGTGGATTCCGGCGTGAAAACATTCAGGACGTCATAATTAAACTACTGTGTGCAAACAGGAACCCACATAGACGTGAAATGAAAGGTCGCACGGACATCTGCGGAAGGTAGCTGAGATTGATCGCCGTTGCAGTCGGATGGCTCGTGCCTAGTTTGGAGATATCTGGTATATGGCACCAGCGGTTCTGCCGTGATTTGAAGTAGCGGAATCGGAGCTGCTATTTTTCTGGCCGACAGTCAGGAGACTGGAAGATGAAAGCGTGTTCTGTTCGGTGACTGCAGGTTCGAGCAACCAGCATAGGATGACGGACATGAGCGCACGAATGAATACTAAAAAATGGAGCCGCCTCAAGCGGATCCTGATCGCATCGTATGAAAAGATCGCTAATCTTTACCTGAGTCTGGGTTCCAGCCCTATCATCCAGATCCGTTTGACATACCACTAGCTTTGTGTACCCCTTCTCATGCACGTGTAAGCCATAACTCGGGTAAATGGAAGGGCATTTTTCATACTAGGTACGGAACGCAGTCCGGTTTCAATGGATTGGCCCCGAGGAAGAGCGCGTCTTCCAATTCTCACCCATGAACGAATCACGGGTGTCACACTTCAGACCACTGTATTTAACACGTTCGAACTCGGTAGACGGAAACCTAGTCTAACTTATGATCGGATACAGCTGACCGTAACGAATATCCCTAGTTTTAACTCATTCGGATAAGCAACACTCTACCACCAGAGTGTCAGTCCTACCAAGCTAGGATTTTTCTCCTTCAGTAGTAAAAGAATAGGAGTGAGTGAAGTCAGTCATTGACGGTGGCCGGTATCACCCAACAACAACCCATCAAGTCTGTTACAGTTTCCAAGCTTTCCGCTCCTCCGCTCCAAAAAAAGGAATATGAATCTAAAGAATCATCTATTCATGGATGGATCGGTGATGGAAAATTGTTTGGGTGTATCCCGTGGTAACTGCAAAGCTTGCGATACTTTAACGGAGATTTCTTGTTGTATGTAAGGGCAGTCAGTACTGGAAAGCTAAGGTGCATTGTACATCTGTTTCATTCTTGTCGGGAATCACTTGTGGTGCACATCATATAACTCTTTATGCATATTCAGATCCGCACCCGTCAGATGTTCTCTTGTGCGGATGTTGCTAGATCACTTTCTGCCGAATGCTTCAACGTTTGGCTAATGACTGGATGGTCACCAAACAGAATTCCTGTAGAGATTCGTGAGATGCACGCTGCTGATAGCCTCTACCATGAATTAAAGAAGTTTACACCTACAGCGAACTATCTCTGAGACCTTGATGAATTAGATTTCAGCCATAGACTCACTGTCAAAAGCATCTAAACTCCTCTCTAATTCAATTACTGTTCGAAATGAGGCTTTACATTTATGAGTACACTGGGCGACGATCCGCAACATCTGTGGTCCTAGACCTACTCATATTTAATCATAATACAGTCATCCATCTTATGCCGACCATTTTTGTATGGGGATGGCCTTTACATAGGAGAACTAGGTCTTCCAAAAAAACTGAGCATGTTTGAATGACTTATCCATGACTGTTCCCTCACTTACTTTGCCTCCACGAGATTGATATCTTAGCGTTACTGTGCCCACATTGTTAGTTGCTGACCTGTTCGACGAGTCCTATCATTCGTTTGCAGACGTTTCGTTACCATCCCATGAAATATCATCAGTGGGCGGGTGTTTCCTCTTCTCGCGCGTGTGTTGATTAAGCTTACTTGGCAGCGGCTCATGTCTCTAACGTCCTACATTATTATTATTATTGTTAGCATTATCAACAAAGAAAACAACATCAGTGTTGACACTGATGCTTCACTGCCGCACAACCATAAGGTTCGTCAAATATAAATATAAATATACATAATTATATTAAAAACACTAAAGTGAAAAGAATAGAAAAGGAGTTGATGAGGGGGGACCTAGTGCTGGCCTATGTCAAGCACTCTGAGGTGCTTACACCTGCAACCGCTCAACCAGACAATCTAGAAAGAAACTGGCAGCACGAACGGTGTGCTTCGTGATCTCTTTCACGCCCTTCTGTCAAGTCATCCGCTGTCCACCTCGTGGTTTGCGCCATTCTGAAGGAGGAACCAAGAACAACACTCGTCTCAGCAGACGGTGTTTCGGCATACGTAGCACATGACCGAGCCATCGTAGTCGGTGGTGAATGTTTTCGTGGATTAAAGTACCTGCAGCACAACCAAATACCCGTTTTCTAATCGCATTGTTACCACCATGCTGACGGCATCCAAAACCAGCAACGCTTCTGAGGTATCGGTGGTCGAAAACCTGAAGACGCCTCACATCATCTGTCCGCAGAGGCCATGCTTCGCACCCATACAACAACGCAGCCCTTACTGTAGCCCGGTACACGCGATCCTTAAGATCTAGTGATATGCCTTTTTAGCGCCACAAGTGACGCAAATTAGTAAACGTGATTCGAGCCTTTGAGATTTTCGCACAAACTTCATCAGACACACTTTCATCAGAGCAAATACAACTACCTAGGTATGCACCAAAATCTTAAATGGTGCCAAAATGGTCAAAAATTATTAATCTACTTTCATTTCCGGCCCAATACCGCTGCCTTGCAGTTTGATGTACCTGCAGCACAACCAAATACCCGTTTTCTAATCGCATTGTTACCACCATGCTGACGGCATCCAAAACCAGCAACGCTTCTGAGGTATCGGTGGTCGAAAACCTGAAGACGCCTCACATCATCTGTCCGCAGAGGCCATGCTTCGCACCCATACAACAACGCAGCCCTTACTGTAGCCCGGTACACGCGATCCTTAAGATCTAGTGATATGCCTTTTTAGCGCCACAAGTGACGCAAATTAGTAAACGTGATTCGAGCCTTTGAGATTTTCGCACAAACTTCATCAGACACACTTTCATCAGAGCAAATACAACTACCTAGGTATGCACCAAAATCTTAAATGGTGCCAAAATGGTCAAAAATTATTAATCTACTTTCATTTCCGGCCCAATACCGCTGCCTTGCAGTTTGATTTTTGAGCCCAAGGCTTTGATTGAGGACCCTAATCGTCCTTTTAACTAGGCGTGGGCGCCCTGGCAGTAGCCCAACCCTCATACAAGTGGGACCCTTTGCGGCGGTTTACGATCGGATTCTCCCATTTTGATTTGTGTTTCACTGATTTCAGCTCTGACTAATTTGTCTCTTTATCAACTTCAAGCTTACATGGAATGATTTATTTAAGATCCTTTGTTTTTTTTTAGATCATAATCCCTTCTGGAAAATATTTTTTGCAAGCAAGACATTGCTGTGTGGAGGCAAAACAATTTGGTTTTATATCGTGACAAGTGACATGCGGCAGCTGGGCCCTTTTTAAAAGAACAAATGAGGTCAGCTTGTACAGACAGCTGAGAGCTTCTGAGGTTTACGTATGCGTCACTAGGGCGGGCCTAAATTTTAAAGACAGCTTGATAAGCACGCAGCAGATATCAAAAGCTGTTGAATTCCAACTGCCTCAGACGTTCGCAGAAGCCGTAGTTTGTGTACCTATATCTCAATTTCCTTACTAGGTTTCCCGACATAAACTCCGACCAAAATTTGCCATCCGACCGCCCGACACCGACTTTGTGCTGTTAGCTTGCACCATCTTTCTACACGGTGTGATAAACCGTGTCTCTCTTATCATACTCCATTCGATTCAGTACAGATGTAAAGGCATGTGAATGGTTGGCATTGTACTGGTCCCAACAAAACATTCTAAAATAATGCCACTGATATGGGGTTAGAAGCTTCTGTTTACCACATTATGACCCATGATTTCAAGTATGCAAACTGCAAACCCTAAGATCTACCAAGCTACATTCAGTGTAGGAAAAAGACTATTGGCACCTTTGTGGATGTTTTTTCTTTGCTGTTAAATTGCGCTGGGAAAGAGCATGTATTTCACGCTTGGGTGCTCTCTGGCTTTGATAGTGTTTTCAGGGAGTCTACCGCAATAGAAAATAATTGAAGAACTAGGATAACAAAAGTCAGGGGATCGTCCACAATTAAGTGGGAGGGGGTGTAGAGCTTTTGTGGGGTGACCACGAGTGTTGCAGATGTTCTTGTATGTTGACAGATTATACGACATAACAAAAATTGCGCAACCTACCTGATCCGCCTTTTTTACGATCCCTGTACTCAGCGTGTCCTTGCTTTGAAAAGTATCAGAAATATGTTTTGTCTCAACAAAGTCTGATTTGGTGGTTGCTAAATTTTTAGTTGTATAAGGTAATGACGAATACCTTTTTGCCTCTGCCGATACAGTATCTGTAGCCGGGACTGGATTTCTATGTCCGAAGGCAAGCGTACTTCGTAGCGGTTCTAAAGGAGGTTTGAAAACAAAAATATTGTTTGGGTAATTCAATAACAGTGGTGGGTAGGCAGCTTTTTTTAATAGTATCTCACACTGACACAAATCAATGTGACCAACTGTGCGAAATGGCCTCTGGGTATGTTGCCCTGAAACCGGTCGCGAAAGAACTTCATACCCGATTCATACACGTGCTGTGTATTTTCCTTGAGCCTAAAAGAATTATCAAAACTGCTCCACCTAAAATCTTCTCAATTCCTTGAGTGATGCTTATAATTCTTGACGGGTAAGGTATTTCCGCAACCTTGGAACAGTCTAATAAGCACATATGTAAGCAGAACAAGTCTATTTGCATGTATTGACAGCTGCTGGCGTCCCACACCAGCCATCATCAGATGACTTTGTACAATATGTACTGTTAAACCTTGTATTGTGTCACTTACATCATGAGCGCATGTGACCAGGTCCTAGACGCGACTCCCATTTCGTCAGTTTAGAAAACATCGGTGGCTAATAGATGGGGTTCCCAAAAACGCGCTGCACAATATCACGCCACCATCCGTTTGGTGGACTCTGGTCTTCTGTCTGTAAATTACGCTTCTCAAAGCTGATCAGCCCATCAGCGCGACGACTCAGAATCAGGACCTGGACTGGTTGCCATAGCCTGGATTTTTGAGGGTGAGATTTCACCAAAGCCTCATCTTGGGTGTGGGAACGACTTCGTAGCCGACGCGACACGTGTCGTTTGGGCTCGGAGACAGCATGCGTCACCATTATAGCGCTGTCCTCAAACTGGGTCGTCAGGCCTGTGGTGAAAGTCACACTAGCCGGTGAGCTGGACATCACACACAGGCGCAGTAAGATGACCTGGAGCTACGTGTGCCCTTCGAACAGCCAGCAGTAGGTAAGGGAGGATTTCCTACTGATTTCCAGCAGTGATTGCACGGTCAAACGACCCACAACATGACGCAGGCAACTTCGTCAATTTGACTGATTTCGTGGCCCAGTCTCACCAAACGGACCGGACCAGAAGAACCCAAATCCATGACTTGCAGAACGAGACCCATGAGCTGCCCTGGTGTGGCCATTATAACCGGTATTCTGCTGAAATATGGCATCTGGTTAGTCAAGGCAGGAGATAACGAAGTGTGCGGAAACCCCACTGTGCTGCGAAGAGACAGACGGCTGATCGCTGTAAGGAGTTAAGGAGACTGGACTTCACCTTCGAGAACGGAACAATGGTACACGAGGCAGTGATGCAGATGGACCCAGGAGCTCGTGATTTGTTTGCTTTCACATGGCGTCAAAGGTCCGGTCGTTGTTTGCCAAAATGCTCCTTGGAAGTCGATGAGGCTGGTGGGATCTCAAGCTCAAACGCCCAGGCCATGGCAACCAGTCCAGGTCCTGATTCTGGATTGTGGCGCTGACGGGCTGATCAACTTTTGCGAAGCATGGTCCACCGAACGGCGAGTGGCATGACGCAGTGGGCGAAACACAGTGCTGCTACTACAGAATCGACAGGAGCGTTTTCACACAAACCTTCAGCTAGTAGCTTATAACAATCCCTCAGCTGTGCATTATTCACAGCCCGGGTGCTCAAGATCTGGCACATGTGTGAAACCTGCTATTAGTGTTGAACCGCAACTAAAAGAGCGGGTGGCCGTCGGAGATCAGAAACCTGAGGATCGAGAAAAGCATATATATGCCCCACGGTAGCAAAAAAGACATGCTAACAAAAGAGGTGTTCACGTATGGTGGTCCGATTTTGGAGAATGCACTTCTTCAACTACCCTGCATGATCCGACAGGAAACGGGAGCTCCATCAAAATTAAAAGATTCTCTAGTCGTGCAGTTACAAAGGTTACGGAAGTAAGAATGCTCCTGACGACTAAGCAGGAACCAGTCTGATGAGCTGTGTAGAGAAGATCCTTGCATGTGTTCTACTCAAATGCCTGATCAAAGCATACATCCCGAAGAACGATGTGAATTCTGTGCCAGTCACAGCACGACGGACCGGATACTTGCTGCACCACTATTTCAGGGGAATTCCTGTGAAAATAACCATTCCCTTGATGCTTTCTTTATGATCATAACGAAGGCCTCGATTACGTAACCGAAAAGTACTGTGCACAGTGAGTTCCAATAGCTGCGGCCCGCCGAAATTCATCAGCAACATCCGAAGCCTATGTGACCAAATGTAAATAGGGATGAAAATCAACAGATCCCGCTCAAACGAATTCGAAATCCCCAATGACGTAAAACGTGGATGAATATTTGACCCAACTTTCTTCAGCCTCTATCTGACGGCCATCATGGATACATATTTCGTGGACGACGGTGCTGAAATGTCGAGTTGACGGATGTATTTTCAGTAATGAACGTGTTGGTGCAAGCAGTCTGATGCACTAAATCAAACTTCGCCCCCTAAGGTATGTGCAGACGGCTGTGTATTCTTCACACAAACACAGAATGAACTGCAGCGTCCAGTTTAGGAGCATAAAACTTCTGCTGTGCAATTTGGCAGATTTTGGAGCAGACTTTGGTTCTGCACGAACCTGTGCAAGGTGGAGTCCTCATCTCCCCTCCGTATGTCAAGACTGGGAGGAAGTCTGTGAACTACTGAGTAGACTTCTACCTAATAGGCACGCCGTTTGTTGACCTTGTCGTCGATAATGAGGGGAAATTAGGTGGTGCCAGGGCTAGTGTAACTTTTGGCAAACTCGAAAACGGCTGTATAGGACCCGGAGCCATCCACAAGGTAGCGGTTCTATCTGCGTCATTGAAACAGTGATCACGTACCGATGCAAGCTCCGGTACCTGAGTAGCTTTCACATGCGCCGCCGCAGGCGGAGTGTGGAAAAGAAGGGTCGTTAGGAGAAGCGTTGTGATGGAATGGAGGTCGTGATCACACCTAATCGTCTACGGTGACTGAAATGTTTGTCGAATGGAAGGAAACAGGTTTCCAAAGCAGCCTTTATATGGTCAGCCGAATACAAAGAAACGAAAGCCATGATATGGGCATTATGATTGGCAGCCTAAGAATTCCTGCTATGGATCTCGTGAGAAGGGAAGGCACAGAAAAAGGATAGTTTGAAGGCAAATGATACGAACCAGGGTTAGTCAATTCACCGATCACCAACTTCTGGCCAGAGAGCTGAAGCGTGCGAAACACAAGGGTGTCATAAGAGCTGCTGAACCTGGAAACTGAACAAGCTGGATTTGTGGGGAACACGGAGGCGCACACGTGTCTGTTATCTGGGGTATAATCGCCAGAAACCCAAATGTTTACCCGCATTCATATGAATGAGCAGTCAGCAGTTGTAGTTTTCCCACCATGCTACGTTTGCGCTCAAAGAATGCTTAGTTTTCACATCTAAAGAGGTGTCACATTTTGGTTCGCTTCGTCGAATTTTCTAGTTGGAAAAAAGATTGCTAACTGGAAGTTTCTTTGTCAGTTTTGAGATATTTTCTCTTTGTAACCAACCTGCGGAATCTGACGTCAAGATTTTTTAGTGAAAAGACGGATTGGAAAATCGACGTAACTTGCTGTAAATTCAACTGAGTACTAACAACATAGACAAGTGAGCATCTAACTATTGCACTTACAAAAGCGCCCATGCAGTAGGACTCGGCCACTGATTTGCATTCACTTGCCTCATCAGGATCACTCAGCCAACGGACCGTTACATACCCTTCTTTGAGATCATCTAAAACTTTCCCAATGATGGGTGGCTGACCCAGAGAGGCATGGTGTCTTCGAGCGTAGTTGTCGGAAAAACGCACTTTCATTGGAACATTTTCTTCCAAAGGCTGCCAGCGGTCACATTTATTCTTTTGTTGATAGTCACGAAATATGTCATCACAGATAGCAACAGGAAGGTTGGGCACAACAAAGGCTCCGTTTCTGAACCCCGCCAGGTACTTTGTGGCTTCAGTTTGTGCGAACTTTATGAAGACATCAGTAGCAGGACAACAATAACAGGTAGAGTAGAGGGCGGTGGTATTAAAAAGAAATAACATTAAATTTCCCTGAAAAAAAAACACATTTTAATGATAATCCGAATGGGGATGTTTCAGTCAGCCTAGGTAGCTACCGGTAATGCATCTCCCAACCGCTCACTGATGATGCCTCTTCGCATGGTGACGAGATGTTTGCAAGTTAATTTCCAAGTCTGTTGAACAGAACAACTGCCGCCTAATCAACAACCAAGTAGCCAATCTTTCTTTTAAATATTTGTGACAGGTTGTTGGCCGGAACAACCCAGTCAGTTACTATTACTTCCGAGTGAATTGAGTGAATTGACTTGACTTCTTTAGAAAATATTTTACCTGCCTCGTAGAGCTACTACAGTACGCTAGGACATCACATCTACACATATTGTTTCCCATCACGTCTATCACACTCTTATTCCAGCTCACAACTTCCTAGTTCATTTAAAGATATAACGGAGTACCTCGTGTATATGTGGTGCAACAATTCGAAGCGTTAACAATAACCATTATTTGAGTCACACAACATGCTTCTGCATTACTGTGTTCAGTGTGTGAAAGGTTTGAAAAACCGTATAATTCTAGGGGTCAGGATACGATCAATCAAAAGATTTCTCCATAAAACAACCCGATTACCTCATTTAAGAAGAGCTTGGTAAAAACTA